GGTCGCCGGCTGCGTTTATTCGTCACGTCAAACGGATCAGTCGCTATTTTTCTCTTCGCGATTTAAACGCGTCCGATTTTTTTCAGGTACAACGTGAACGTGACGTGCTCTCTGCTCTCGCCAAATAAATGCTACATTTCCATTTTCTTTTTTCTTTAATATCCCGTATATACGCGACACTGCGGCATCTGTCTTTGGAGCGCTAACACGGAGATCCGATCTGACTCACCCTCTGCTAATTACTATTCGCTCTGACAAAGGTCACGAATCCGCGGATAATCGATATTTTCGCCGACAAATCGCCGTCGAGAGATCGCCAAATATGACAACAGGTACACGTCACGAAGTGAAACACGCGCACACGTTAGATGTGCGAGATCGTGTGAGTGTGGGAAACACGTGTTCGTCCTCGTCGCGATTCATCATCTCAGCTCGACTAATTTTAATTTAAAATCTAATTTTAATTTAATAATATCTTAAATTTCTGATTTTTCTTATTTTTTATTTCTCAAAGAGATATCTAAATATATATATTCGACGAAGATCTCCCTTTTGCTATGTTTTACAAATATGATGTATGATCATATTTATCACACACATTTTTACTTTTCCGCCGATAATCTCGCTTTCGTTTCCTTCGCAAGAAACCTCGGAAACACTGCGTGACGATGGAGCAGCACCCTGCGATTGGAAATGTCGGAAATCTAAATTGCAAATTGTACTTTCTTCGATCGACGCGGACATTGCGCAACAGCTAAGTACAGTGTGTTTTCCTCTTGCGAGATCGCTTGAAGAGTGACCCAGTTATTACGAGATAACGCTGCCATTCAATGAGGCATTCATTTTTAAAAGTGAAGCACGAATCCTACATTTCCTCTCCTACGGAAACATCGAGATCGATCGATTGACTCTTGCAATATTTTTAATATTACGTCATCGATCCAAGGACACTGAAGCGAATCCGTTCCTGTCAATCCAGCACGTTGCAACACTTCCACATACAAGATCACAAAAAGAAGAAGTATATTTTCTACACAAATTTTCTCACATATGCATGCTAAACTTTATTTAAATTTTCATATCTCTATACTTAATAAAAAACTTATTCTCTCAATTAAAAAAAAAAAAGATATCGAAAGTTCTTTCCTTTAACGTTAATTCACCAAACTTTCGCACATTTTAGATATGAACTATAAATTCAATATAATTGAATAAAATCCTTGACGTCTCTCCACAACGCAGAAATATTTTCGTATATCGTAATTCGATTTTAATAACGAAATTAAGATAAGTGACACGCTCCTAAATCTTGCGCAATTTTCATTCGAGCGGATCTCGCGTTTAGGCAGATCACAGTACTTTCAAAGAGAGTTCGAAGAAAAAAATTAAAAAGCTCTTATTTTCCCGTTCTCGCACTAGGCTGCACCAAACTTTCTCAAACTTCAAATATATATTTATCTCATTTTAATGAGCGTACAACAGCGTACACATGAGTTCAGCTATGAAAAAAAAACAAAAAAAAAACAGACTAAAGGATCGCGATCCCAGGTGCGCGTGTCGCGCGGACGCACCTGCGGCGCCGACTCGCGCGACCACGCCGCAACCGACGAGGACCCTGAGGACGCCGAAGAGGCCGAGGGGATCGCCCCCGCGAGAGCCGGCTCTCTCGCCGCCTCTCGGGTGGGCAAGCTTCCTTTTTTAGGCGTCACCGCGAGTTGCTTCATCGTGCGATCGTCGAGCGTGTCCCCCATCCGTCACGAACACACGCGAGAGGATCCGTTCCTTCCTCGGATTCCTCCTCTTCTCCTCTCCCCTCCGAGCGAGAGGACACAATTATCGCGTATTGTCCGGGCTTTTTCTCATTCGTTGTGTTTTTATGCGGATTCGATCGTTCGGATCGTTTGATATCGCGAATTTTATTATTCATGTGACGCGAGACGGAGCCTCGCTTGCGGCCTCTTGGAGCTGAACGCGCCGCGAGAAAGAAAATAACGCGGGTCATCGCGTTCGCCTTCGTCCGCGAGACGAGTTTCATACGTCATACGACGTGTGTATTACGACGACGCGTTATCATTCACGACACGTATAAAATCTCCATACGATTTGTTTTACTTGTTTATTCAGTTCTCATTTAACTGTCTCTTTCTCTATCGACCTTTACAGATGTTTGATACGGAAAATTAATTGTTTTGATTAATTGTTTATTTCAAATGTTAAATGTCCTGCTGTTCCCCGAAAAGGGGAGATTTTGGTCCCGCCTATCTTTCCACCTGACGTCTACATTCCGAATGGAAACGGCGACGTTGAGATCTCCGATGATTTCTCACGTGCGAAGGCGTAACAACAAACAAGCACGACGCTATTAAATGATCTCTCAGTGCGTCGAAACCGTTTTGCGACGCCCACAAACGCGACCGCTTTTGCTTACGTTTCAACTCTACGCGACGTCGCACACAGTTGGAAAGAACCGACGAAGATTTTTTTTTTCTTCAACTATTACCGCCGTTCTTCTCTCGCCGTGTCTCGCCTAAGGTCGACGAGGTTTCTTAATGCAATTGCTAAGTCGATGCAAATTGATTCAGTATGCATTACGGAGGCGCGTTATTACGATTCTCATAACCACTTTTAGAGCGTGTGCGAGGTAGCAGGAAAATAAATGTTTTACCGAATGTGAAATGAAAAATAAATACGTCAAGGTTGAGTAGCTCTATTCGAGGAACGCCAATAATAAATAATGATGATAACAGTTAATCATGCACGACCGAAGCTACTCTGTTAATTCCAGATAACTTATAAATCTGCATTTTATTCTAAGACGAAGATCAAATAACGAATAAAGAAAAATTCAAAGTTATAGTTAGAAGAGCAAATTATATAGCAAATGTTTATATCTTTCCAAAAAAAGGTTTATAAAAGTGATTCCTTAAGTATTCTAATCCAAACTTATTGGCTTCATTTTGATTTTAAAAGTGAGCGTTAAGATGTTAACTTGTACTTAACATAAATAATTACTTATAATATACTCTATGTATAATATCAACAGCGCGCAATAATGTTTAATGTAATTACAAAAATTAGATTAATTTTTACAGGAAATTTCGATTATGTTATGAAAAATAATAAATATTTCATATTTAACGCTGCGTCCCTATTGCCGAGAGAAAACACCCTTCGCGAGACCGACGTGGGAGGACCAGATAAGCCGAGCGTTTAATCACTACTATTTATCCCCATTTCTGATGATTAGCCGGTCATTTAACATATAATCGAATGATACGCAATTAACTTAATAATTCAGGAAATAGGAGTACCATGGAAGCGAAGAACGCTGGAGGCAAAGGAACGCGGGCTCACCTTCCTCGGTATACAACTCGATTCGTATCTCGCGAACGGATGACAGCGAACTGTTATCGCCTTCGTCGTGGAATAGGATCCCGTCGTGAAACGGGGCCTCGTCGTAGAACGGGCCCCCCCCGTTCGCGGGTCTCTTTGGAACACAGCACAGCATCTGATTGCGAGCGCATCGAGGCACCGACTGAGAGAGATCGCGCGAATCGGCCCGGCTCTTGTAAGAGCGCCGCTCTTACAAACGTTGTAACCGCGAGTTGTGTCTTCCAGTGTCTTCGCGACGGAGGTTTATTTTCGGCCCCGTCTCACAAAGTGAATCTCACTTCTTCTCTTCTCTCTTTCTTTCGGTACAGTGTTGTTCGTTGCATGTCGCGACCGCGAGTAAATAGAGATGCAAGAGGATCATAAGGAAAATATTCAATAGTTCCCTTATCTTCTTTAATAAATAAAAAAATTAATGCTGCCAGTTTTAAGGCTCGAACACGTAATTTTGCTCGCCTCTTACGTAATTAAACAATAATTATCTAACGATAAGTATAAAAGTGGAAAATGCTTTACTGTGATAGAACTTGCTGTTGTGTATTATTCTGCATCTTTGTTATTAAATTTTTGTAATTCATTAGAAAAAAATATAAATTTCTAATTATTGACATAAATAAAAATATTTCGCGAATCACAGATAGTAATTTAAATTAAACTTTAATGATTATTACTTTCTCCTCATACAAAAGTCGCCATTTATCTCAGGATAGCTTTTATTCCTCCCATAATTACATCGGTAACCACAACAACCCTGTTTATTCTATATACGTCAAGGCGACAGACAAACAAAACTATTATAAAAGGAAAAGTAGAAAATATTTATCAAGCTAATACCTTAATTTCGCTTTCTTTCGAATAATTATCAAAACCAAGCAATCAGAGATGTTGATGATAAGTGCTATTAAGGCCACATGATTATCTACCATGTGTATCTCCCTCGCGGCTGTTCCACCCGCACTCTCAAAATCCGTCCTAAATTTGCTCCCTATTACGAAATAGAGGTCGATAGCTCCTCCACCTCGTGGTTCCCCGCAATATTTCTCGTAACTGTGCACCGGTGGCCGCGACCGTGCTGTTTACCCTATAATTAGAATGGACGGAGACCGCGCGGAGTGAGGCGTCGAAGAACCGGAAGCGGATCGCGACGGCGACAACGGCGACGATGACGACGGGAAAAGTTGGAGAAAGCGGGACCAACCCGGGAATCTCTCGGCGTATTCGCCATTTCCTCGTCGTAAATATACACGCGCGACGATGCACACTCGCACTTACTTACCCTCAGCTTCAGCCATGTTCGTCGTTAGGGGAAACACTGGTCGTTATGGGAACGCCGTTCCCTCACTATGTGCATCGGAGGTGCCTCTCCTCGATCGGAGGTTCACATCGTTAACAACCCCGCTTGTAGCGGGAAACGCGCCCTTTTCAACCCCTTCTTAAAATAATTCTGCAATTTTAAACTTGCACGGAAAGGAACTTAAAAGTAACTTTCTGACGCACGTGAGATTGCATTTTTTTATATAAAAGTGAAAAAAAAACACACATCAAAATATTTCAGAGAATAGAATAAATATAGATTGCCTTGAACGTTGAAAAATTGTTTATATACTTTTGTATAAAATTAAGAAACTAAATTAAGAATTAACGATGATGTTTGTAGAGAAAAGGCTAGATAGTGAAGATTTCATAATGTCAATATTTTTTATATAAAAAAGAAATACATATAGTTAAAGTAAAGTAAAAAATTATTTAAAAGATATATTCTAATGTATATTTTTATTATAATACATATGTGTTTTTATTTCTGAAGTATATGGAACATAAACTATTTATTTCTTTATTTGTGTTTCAAAAGAAGAACCATTCGATCTTCTCTCTTTTGAATGCTTACCTCTTTAGGAACAAGCTCTTTAAACATCGGACTTTGACGTCTGCCATTCAAAGACATCTGTTTGAGTTGGTTGTAACTCGAGAACGTCGGCTGATCACGCATGCGTCGAATATATGCAAATGCATATAATGCTAGAGAGTAACTTCGATTAAATTCTGATTAATTTATTTAATATAATAATTAAAATTTATTTGTAATGTCTACAAATTATTTTGTTAACATGAATAATATCTTATTATATTTAATACATGAAAAAGAAATTAGATTAGGATTGCATAATTAGAAAATAATAATTAGAAATTGTATAATTAAAAATTTATTATGAATATTTTTACTATGAAAACAATTCCTTCATTTCGAATTGCTGATTAATTTAAACAAAGTTTGGTCATGTCATTTTCAGTATCGGACATGCTTATTAAATTTATTTGTTTCATTTGCACTTTGTGTATATTTTGATTTTCCTCTTTCTCATCTATTTTGTTTCAAACAAAAAAAGTGCTAAAAAATAAATCAAGCAGAAATCTACACCTTCTAATTACATTATATTTACTATGAAATTGTTTTCTGAACATATAAAAAGAGTTGTTGTAATAATCATAAGCACAATAAATATTCCAATTTGATATTTTTAAAAGCGAAATATTAAACTTTTTTATTATCACAAGTTGTTAATGACGAAACCTTTTATTGCAAGGAATCTCTTATCCGTGTCGCTGTTTTTAGTATACATTCTTTTATCAATAACATAAATTACAACCTTAAAAAAATTGATTTTGAAATTTCGCGGGCTTGTGACTGAATAATACGTCATGTATTATCATATCGTATTGTAGCATGACAGTTAACCTTCCTTAACGATAAGCACTGTTATGTCTTCGAATCAAGTTACATCAGTGGGAGTCGACGTCAAGTTCAAAGTACGCGATATATCTCGTATCTAATTAACTCAAATCTCATATTTGGAATCTTATACGTAAGGTAGTGAAATGACAATCATTTCAAGATTTGTGATCAAGAACATCTTTGCTTTCCAGGTACACATCTTATATATAACTATATATTTAATCTAAAAGAAAATTACATAATTATATATCTATAAAACTACAATCGTCGTTCGTGATCATATGTTTGCGCATAGATTGTAAATGTATTCGCTTGTATTCGCTTCACACAAGTCTATTCTATTTTGTTCACGAGGTCACGTTTACTTTTATGATGCTGATTGGCTCGTGAGAACGAATATGAATTGCGGGAATATTTCAAACGCGTAAGAATTTGATCTCTCGTTAAATAGTTGTGCAATTTTATTATTAATTATTAATTTAAATTATTGACCTAATATTGTTGCAGACAAGATGCATCGCAAGAACATTATCCACCGAGAGGAAATATGTAGAGACGACGGAAAGCAACGGGGTAAAGAGATTATTTCGTTTTTATTCTTATAATTAAAAGTATTATTTTTTTTATACATCATGTCAATTATATAAATTATTAAATTTATAATAAATTTATTTTTACAAATTATTAATTTAAAATTTCAATTAAAATTTTAATCGTGAATAATTACTAAGAATTACTTATAATTTTTATTAAATTACAATCTTGATAATAATTATTATCAACCATTGATTGACTTACTTTCAATTTTATTAGTAATTGCAATTGTAAACTTTGTATTATTCGCAAGATCAATTAACTTGTTGGTTTTCTCTCAGGTCAGAACTATCCGTTTGAGTGATTCTGTCTCGCGCAACTCCCTATCATTAGAGATGCTGAAAACCTTGGTGAGGGAGATCAAAAAAGACGAAGATAATAAGGAACTCCGATCGATTGTGTTGACATCCGAGCCGGGAAAGGTATTCTCCGCAGGGCATAATCTGAAGGAACTGGTTCGTAGATGGTGGTCTCACCTTTTTAAGGGCTTCCTTTTGTATTTCTTGCACAGAAAAAGATATCAATTGCATCAAAAAGATATCACCGGCTCGTATCATTTAGACAGCTACAAACGCCAAATTACACAAGGACGTCTTCGAGACTTGTTTAGAGTTGATGCGAGCCATCAGTCAAAGCCCGGTACCGGTAATTGCAGCGGTGGACGGTTTGGCAGCTGCAGCTGGTTGTCAATTGGTCGTCGCGTGTGACATCGCGGTATGCACGGAAAGAAGTTCGTTCTCCACTCCTGGGTACTTCTCAAAGCTTATACTTTTCGTTTATTATCACATTGTGTTATTAATATTATTATTTATCATTAAATATAATTTTTATAATGCTACCGAACGTTAACAATTATTATTATTTTCTTCGTAATGTTTTTCGCAGGGCAAATCTTGGGATATTTTGCTCGACGCCAGGCATACCGTTGGTGCGCAACGTGCCAAGAAAAAATGCGATGTATATGCTTTTCACAGGTTTTTCTATCTCCGGCAGAGAAGCTTATGAATACGGTCTTGTTAGCAAAGTTGTAGCAAATGATAATCTCGGTAAGTTATTAATAAAAAATACGTCGTAAATAAAAATAGACAATACGTCATTAGGAGCAAGTCTATTAAAACCAAAGATAGAAACAATACGCAAAAAATTTAAGCAGCTAAACTATTTAGAAATATTACAGAGATGTAAAATAATTATTTTTCTTTTCTTTATTTTCTTACTTAAAAATTAACGAGAAAGTTATCTTCTGTTTAATTAATATCATATACAATAATATGAATATTATTGTCAAATATATTTTATTTAATAAAATAATTTTATTTTTAGATGAAGAAGTTCGTCGAATTACAGACGCAATCAATACAAAGAGTCGCTCTGTTATGCATCTCGGTAAAACATTCTTGTATAAGCAAATGAATCTCGATATATCGACAGCGTATGACTTGGGCACTGAAAAAATGGTGGATAATCTAAAAATGAAAGACGCGCAAGAAGGAATACAAAGTTTTGTGGAAAAAAGAAAGCCAAATTGGTCACATGAAAATAATTAAAACTAATATTAACATATTTTTTACGTGTGTATAATTAAAACTAATATTAACATATTTTTTACGTGTGTATAATTTCAATAATAAAGTGATTTTTTAAAATATATTTGACATTTAATCAATATTCATTTAAATGTAAGTAATATTCATAGAATAATCCATTAATTACATAGAAAATCAGTGTAAATATGAATCATAAAGAAGAAGGGATATCAGTAGTCTGGATTTTTAAATTAAAAGTTCGATAATATTATTGAATGTAAATGTTCAAGTATCGTGGATTTGTCAAAAGCAAGCACTGCTGTATTTTAAATTTTAATATCTGCAATTCTCAATCATTATCATTATTTAACTCGCTTTTCAGATGTAAGTTACACAAGATCCGAATTCAATTTTATGTAATATAATTAAAATTTAAAAATAATGGAAAATAATTTAGTTTAAAATCAATAAAATGCTTAATATCGTTATAAGAAGTAATAGAAGACTGCAAATGAAGTTTGCAAGTTAATCTTAAAAAAAAAATGTAAACATGTATTTTTCTTACATTGCTATAAACGAGCTATAAACGCAGTAAACTACATATAACAAAATATATTTTAAAGAGTATATTTTACAAATTTGTTTTATGAATAATTTAAGCACATAACTTATTTACATTACATATAATCATGGTTTATATATGTATATACAAATATATACAATATTGTATTACTATTTACACAAATTATATTATAAATTAGTTTTGTATAAGATTTTAAAATATTTATAAATGCTTAATTATTGTTTGGAAATAAAAGACTTAGAAAAAGTTATAAATTATATAAGTTATAGAAAATTACTTAAGTATTATTTTTTTAGAAAAAATTTTATATCTTCATATTAATTTTAGTCCTATCTTTCTGTATGTTTTTAAATAAAATTATATACAATAATTCAATTACATATATTAATATACACTATAACACTATATATTAAATAAATTAAATAAATTAATTAATTAAAATATTTGTATATATATTCGCATAATTAATAATCTATTTTTGAGACATCTTTTAAATATTCTTTAGATAGTTCTAAAAAATCTTAGTATAGTTAATTAGATACGACAAAGAATATTATTTAGATCTATTTATAATATTTAAAATAATTTTATTTTAATATTTTATATATAGTACAATACTTTTTAATGTTATTAGTATTTTATGTCCCTATATATGTTCTAATATTTTTAAAAATATTTCTAAAATGTTCATAGAAAGTGTTTTTGTCTTATCTAATAGATATTGGCATAATGTATAGGTCAAGTTTATGAGTCAGATGACGTATCAAAATGTAAGAGAAATATTAATTAATATCATTATTTATTAATCCATATCATATACTCGTATTATTAACCTATATTAAATGTAGAATATTTATAATTTTATAATATTTATAATTTTTTATGAACAAGTCCAATTATCTGAATTTGTTTTACACAAAGATTACAATCGTAAAATATGTATATTTGTCTGTCAACATACGCGCCTGTGTCCATTTGTGTAAGATTATGGATTTATTAATGAGAATGAATTTATAATGATATTGTATTTATAATGAGAAAATTGAAGAACAAAAATGTAATACGATACGTAATATTTCTTATTCAACTATTTTCCCAAATTTTTCACAATTTCAGGAAAATCGTGATATATTTAAAGTATTGTTTTATTATTTGGTAAATTCAGTAAAACTGTTTATTTCTACATAATTAAAGAAAGAAAAAAAATAATGATTAATAAGGCTGCAAACTTTATCAAATTTCCCAATTATAAAACTGTCAATTGCGGATTAAATAAATGACGAATTAATTAATCAGACGAGGAAATATGTATCAAATTGTACAAAAAATATATTTATCATTTAGCAAAAATATTTATCTCTCTTTAGTTACCTATTTTATATAAGTGTAATAAACAAATATTTAGGAGGCTTGTTTAAAATATCATTGCTTATATATATATTATTGATGCAACTGCCCCATTTATGATAACTGAGAAAAAAGTATTATTAGAGAGACATTTATCAGGAGGAAAGGAACGCGGCGAACGTTCGCCGTACAAGATTCGCGGTGGTAAAAGTCCGAACGCTGCTTATTACCCGGTCTCATTATGATAAATTTGTTTGTTGTGATAACGCTTTGCCCTCCTTCGCCAGAAATCTTCGTTTGTGGTCTCTACGTCAAGCTGATACAAAAACCTAAAGATGACGAAATTTTCAACTGTTCTGCCTGCTGACCGATGTGCAGATAATCATTTTCTCAATTGATGACTCGAGACGTCTAATAATAAATAATCATGTAACAGGAAGCGCGAAATTCAATTCTGCGTGTGATAATTCAATCGGTATCGGAAATATAAGAATATTAAATTATTCTTTATCTTCGTATCATTTGAATGTATTTGCGTTTTGAACTTTCGTATCGTTGGATCGGACGAATCAGACTACGACACTGGGTTCTCGTTGAAGACGATAAGATCGGGTTCGCGGTGTAAGCGAGAATATCGAAGGCCGCCGATATGTTCTTATTATGACGAATAAAAACAAATCTCTCTCTCTCTCTCTCTCTCTCTCTCTCTGTCTCTCTCTCCATCTATCTCAATCCCGCTGTTTTCCTTTGCCGTTTCCTCGGTCAAGCTTATAAATGAGGATCGCTGTCGTGCCGGAGATCAGTAACCATTTTATTCGCGGACGATTCTGATGCTGAGGAGAAGACTCGTGCAGACACACGAGTTGTACGAGTAGCGGTACAAAGCGGAAGCGACACACATCGCTTTCTTATACGTCGACGAGAGCTTTCTTATACGTCGACAAGGCTTTTCCTTGGTTGATGAATTTTATCAAGACCACCATCGCTGACGGTTGCCTAACGAAGCAGTTCGAAGCTTCCCAAAGAATTAAAACTCGAAGAGCAAGGCGAGACGGAACGAGAGGAAGCACGCTGAAGGCGAATCTGGCAACGCGAAGACAATACACCAGAAGGCAGATAACGGAGTTGCTCTTCGAGAGCTGCATTGGTGAGTAGAATTCAGCGAGACGTAAAAAAAAGAAATATATTTGAGAAATGAGAACATTCATTCGTTTCGAGCGCAGCTTTAAAAGAATTAATTATCCCTTTTTTTAAGTGTCTACTCTTACTGTACTTTCGACGCATCTTTTTCGCATTTAATTTTCGAAAGATGAGGAAATGAGGAAAACAGTTGGATTTCGATAAACGAAAACTAAAAAAAAATAATATCATCATAAAGTGCAATAAGTATACATTCCTATGCCTATTAGACAGAATTTCAATCCGTTATTCCCATTATTCTAGAATGTCCTGCTATAAGTACTAGTGGCGCGGTAGTTATTATTGCGAGAGAAAATCAAAGCTGTAACGATAAAAGACACGATAGTGAGATATAAATAACTGTGTATAGGAGATAGTTACACGCATGTATATCTACATAAATAGCATTGTGTGTTTGATTCGTCACGTGACTATGTTCGAGATATGTCCTTATGTAGCATTTTCTTCTTACGCAGTATTTATTACAAATCAAATAATTTTCTCTTTTAAATTTATATTAAGTTAAATAATTGATTTTACCGAGAAATTTTTATCGAGAAAATTAATTTTGAACGAGAAAATTTACATCGAAATATATTAATATATGCTACATCGTGATATATTAATATATGCTTATAATAGATGTAAAGTTTAATTGATTCAAATTGAATTATTATAATAATGTAGATAATATTAATTGTTAAAATAATTTCAATTTTCTATTAAGCAATACTTTAAAACAATAATTTCAGAATAAGACGGAAATAATCATTGTTTCTTAATTATTAATAAATGTTTTGAAGTGAAATGAATTAATACGGATATATAGATTGCTGTGAAATCAATCTTCAGTTAGTTTTGTTTATTCATATAAAACAAAATGCAAAGATTTTGATTACTTAATCATTTTGTAACAATTCGTTTATATTTGTGCAGACTGTGAACGAATGTCTGCTGTTCCCCAAGGTGCTTTTGCAGCAATAAAAGTTCGCGAAAACATGGACAAGAAAAACGCTGCTTCTACATCCGCGATGAAGACTGAAAACAAGGAAGATACCGAAAAGAAAAGATTCATTTCGTATCCTAAGACTCCTCAAGAAGGTAACATGTCTTTATTCAATTTCAATATTTTTATACATTTAATTTCTATTCAAAGAGAAATGCATCAATATATTCATTTTCGTTATCTTTAGTTTATGAGAGCAGTAAGAGGTTTGCGATACCAGAGAAGTACACTATGTACAAACAAGAAAACAAAACAGACCAAAGCACTTCTTACAAAAAGACATAGAATTCACAAGAAAACAAAACAGCAAACTTTTCATTCCTCACGAAAAAAATCTTAACGAAGTTATATTTCGATTAATTTATGACTCGATTAATTACAATCTTTTTCGATAGAACTCTCAAAACCTATTTCGTTTAGGACTTTTATGATTTTAATATTTACGGACTGATTTTGCACTATTGAATTTAACATAATTCTCGTCATCTATCGAAGAATTAGTTGTGAAAAGAATGTTTGAAAATCATGGACTGTTTAGTTTTAATCCAAAATAGATCGTTAGAGCGTAAGATTTTTTTATTTATTTATTATTATTTATTTAGCTTTGATACAATATCTTAATTTTTATCATGACACACACTTTTACATTATTTAAGTACACTATTACTAAGAATATTATTTATTCAGTTTGTTTATATATCACTGTTACCTGCTCACTTCTTTGATTTTATCGTCGAAACCTCAATATTAAAACTTTGATTACGTTTTTCTTTTTCTTATTTTTTATGTTAATAATTTTTCTTTCTCAATTTTTTCTGTTATACTGATACTAATGAGAATTAAATAAAAGCTTAAAATTCATCTTTCAAATATTATTAAATATTAATTTCTTTATTATTAAATCGTTTTTCATTCTAAAAATTTACTCGAATTTAGCTGTGAATCCTTTGCTTTGCAAACAACGAGTCTTATTTTTTTATTTTATTAATTTTTAGTTTACTTTTTATCCTTACTATTTAATTTACTAATACTTATTACTAATCTTTTATTAAATTTATGCAGGCTGGGAGTTGACGCTGCTCAAATACAACAGCAAGCTAATGAATAGCATTTGGGGCCAATACAATCGCTATTCGGTACATAACTTCAAGAAGAATACTGATGCAGAGAAGGGGGCCCGCGGTGGGGTGGCTGCGGCGATCTGGAGTGCCATTTTGGAGAAGCATCCCCCCGTCGCCAATGCCGCCGCCACCGCCACCGCGAAAGCCCCCCAAATAATGAAGGCCGGAAATAGTTTTTAAACACGGTGTGACTTCAAAAGTTACTTAAAGATGCTATATAAAAATTAGTTATATTACTCAAAGATGGGGATTATACGTCTATAATTTAAAATGGGATAATAAATATATAAATATATATGAAATTAGAAGAAATTATATACATGCGAAGAACATATTACGTAATTATACACAAATTTTTTTGATAATTCTATTGAGAACGGCTATTTTCGTTGTAATATTTTATCTTAATCATGATATTATCAAGCTTTTTGATATCGTAACATTTTTCTGTTCGTTATTTTTATTGTTATCTATCTGGAAGAGATTTCCAAGAATTTTAAAAATCAAGTTAGTGTTTATATTCGCAATAAGACAAAGTCAATCGTGTTATTATTATGTTTAATAATAATTAAAGATTTTGCAGCAGTATTTAATATTCTATTTTATATTTTATATATTTAACTGATCGATTTATTCAGGAAGATTTAACATTTTTAAGTAAATACTTTTAAATATTTTTAAATTGATTTTATGTTTGCAGTATTTATTTAAAAAAGTAGTACACGTTTCTCTTTAAATAATGTGAAAAATTGTTAAAAATGTCAATCAACAATCAAACGACAATTTGTTAAATCTCACAAAATGTTCACGACATAATGATTGATAACCATCATGTAATAACTTATGTTATGTTACGTAATAACACAGTAATACAGTAAATAATAAATAAATACAAAATTAAATTTGCGTATTAATTTAATATTACACGACAATATTAAAATCATATGTATTTATTAACTTTCATAATTTCTTTATCTTGGCCTATTACTTTTAATAATAAAAGAAATGTTTAATTTCACAATTATATTACTGTCATTTATTATATTATATTGTTTATTATTATGTTGCTGTTATTCAATAAATTTAAAATGATTCCGATTAATTTAACGATGATGTTATATAATATCGAATTTCTAACAATCTATATTAACTTTAATCTCTGTTTAATATACTTTTTATCTTTAACAATTCTGACAATTAGAAAACGATAAAAAAAATTAAATTGAGATTAAAGTTGAGAGATTTACATTAGTAGAAGCGGAATAAAAGTAAAATTTATCGAGTCATATTACTTATAATAATTTTTAATTATACAATTAATTATCCTTAATTTTCAATCTTTCTTTATATCAAATAAATGAAAAAAGATTAATAATTTTGTCTACGTTAATATAATATATTAACACTAAATACTTTATAAATCAATTATTGAATTAAGTTAGCAGAAGTTTGCATCATTCTTATTCGGAACTCCATCTAACTCTACCTGTCGGCAATTGCAGCAAACTTCGCGACGTTCCATGCGACATGGTGTGGGCGCGGAAGTCGATCTTTCGATTTGTAAAAAACCGATCGACACCAATCGACACGAGCCACTGAGGGCGCATTTTATCGTGCGATTTCTCATGTTTACTAATATAACGGGTGTCGTCTAACCAATAAGGGAAAAAAGAAGGAAAGAAATGGCTCTCTATGACAATCAACATTGGCTGCTGTCGCACATCAGGGACAGCTTTCTCGCGACTGACGACACAGGTTTGTACTTCTAATAAATTTAGGTTAGAAATATCAACGGAGATTAATCTCGAAGCGTTGCACCATCCTGATAATATTTCCGATGATAGTTCCTGTCAATATTCTGATAACATAGATGATGCATTTATTACAAAATAAATTAATATTGTAATGCAGCAAATAAATAAACTAAGTATAGCATAGCCAAATAATTAATTTTGAGAACAGATTTTCTAAAGTATTTATTGTAAAGCTTATCACACGGAAAGATCGTAGATTTGATAAATTAAACTTATATTATAATATACAGTATTATTGGCGGAATATATTGTCAGAAATAGCAAAATCTATTAATAAAATATAATACAGAAGTTGAGCAGAAATTATGTTAGAAATATTAATTTCCTAATAATTTCTAATTGAATTTACTACTAACATGAATAAATTATTATACTGCAATTTGTATTATTATAATTTATATATGTGTATAATTATATAATTGTATAATTTATTTTGATTAAAAGGTATGTGCGATATGGTGATACTAGGGGAAGATATTCCTAAGCAATTAAAAGAAAATGGAACATTGCAATGTTATCCTGGTATGGAGGAGAGTGACGACGAGGATTTGGATGTATTGGGGGAATCATATGACATACAAATGGGTAGATTCTTTTTTTATACTCTATCATTTTATACAAGAATGCTTATATATGTTATATAAAACATAAATTAAAATTGATTCATTTCAAGAATATTCACAGAATAATTTTAACTATTCATAAATTGTAATTTGAAGTAGATCAAAATGTTATTATTTCTAATTAAATTCTTTGATTATAAGTGGTTTTTTTCTATTTTTAACATTATTTTAGATATGGAATTCAGTCATAGACAGAGATCCAACACTGCACAGAGACTAGAGAAGATGGACATAGAAAGGAAGAAAGCAGCTAAAGTTAAGCATGTTAAATGGGAACATAATCTTAACGCTGTTACACTTACAGATCAATCAGAATTATTTCAGAGAAAAGATTTTCGTAGGAAAATGCCACTGAAGAAAGGACAATCTCTACTATCAGAACAACTTGAAAAATGTCCAAATTTACCACCAAATCCATTTAAAGAATACGCCAAGTTTGATGGCAACGTATGTAATATTAATTTTTTGCTTTCCTCAAGTAAAAGCTTAGCTTTATCCAAAAAATATTTTTAAAAAAAATGAAAATTATATATAAAATCTCTTAAAGTAAAAATAGATTATATATTATAAAATTTTTCTTAGATTTGTGATATCTATCATTGAAAAATATGTATTTACAGCATGTTTGGAAATTCTTTCACAGGCGCAGGTAAGCATCCCTGTAAGGAAGTACAGAATATTTATGTGCATGTTACCAAAGGAGGAAAGGATGTATCCACTCCAAATAGTGGTGACAGTGACAGCACGAGTATTGGACTTTGTTGGATTGATTTGTTATAAATATGCAAGTGAACATCCCGAGCATAATTTGAAGTCTGTAACAAGTTATCTTGCGTTGTTAAAACACATGCTTTATCCATGCAGTCTCCATGGATTCTTATTTTCTTAGGGAAGACATCTCACGTTATGGACTATATATTACCGAAGATGATGGTGAGATAGATTCAGCTTTTCCCTGTTTGGATCCACGCGAGATTATTTCCAAATTCGAATTCACCACACTGGGCCTGATCGAGATGAAACCGAGCGATAGAGCACGGTATAACGCAGTCAGTTGTGTCGAGAAAAAAACTGAAGAAGATCAGGAGGGTAAAGACAAGGAGCAGGAAGAGGTTGCAAATGATCTGGCCAAGATGGAAGGTCATACCACTGCAATGGAGGCGCCATTGTATCAATCATATAGGTAGTTTTTCAGTTTATTATATCAAATATCAAACATATCAAATTTTTTATAAATTATATTTATATTTATATTATTTTGATCATCACTTAATTATATAATTAAAATGACAAATAATAATTTTAAGAAGACATATAAAAAGATGAGTGATTATATTGTTGAAAATAAAAATGGAAAAATTAAAAAAGTAAGATTTTGATATTGCTGAGATATATTCAGATTATATAAAAATATACATGTCTTTAATTATAGGGTACATATAATTAATAAGATGCGAGCGAAAACTGAGATTCATTTAGGTATATCGGGCGAGAAGATAGAAATAGACCCTGTAATAACGAGTAAAGGTGCTGGCAGATTCTGGAATAGACAGAGAGCAGTCAGCTATCACATAGACAACATCGCTTGGTGTGAAGTGACAGAAACTAAAGGGTCCAAAACTATGTTCACATTGGTTTATACTCCACAATCTAGCGCTCCGGATAGTTTTCTGAGTTAGTTTTTTCTCTTTATATAATTACATATTGCTCGATATATTTGACAATTTTCTCTTTCAAGAAAATATCTGAATGGAAAATTATTTTTTGAATTTTTAACAATGTTTTCACAAGAATGTTTTGTAAAAAAAATTTAATGATGTTACAGGTCAAAGTCATTCGCTTCATCAATCGGCATCCTTTAAGAATCACGATTTCGAGGCGGATTCGGTGACGGCCGAAGAGATCGTACGAAAGATCAATCATATTCTAGAACTACATAGCAGCCAATCCAGAAAGGAATATCTTGCACAAAAAGAAAGGAAAGCAGCGAGAAGAAAAAGTTTTCATTTGCATAGATGACAGCTCTATTGGTTATTTTGTACAATCTTAGATTATTTGAAACATTAGCAAGTATTAGCATACCACCGAACGTGATCTTAAAATCAGCAATGTCTTCATATGAATTAAAACTCAATATCTCGAATCTCGTTGACATGCCAGAAATGGCGGAAAGTAGACAGTCTTCTTTGTATATTCCAATAATATAAAATTTAATGTAATGTCAATGTAAATTATTTTGTATTTATTATATTTCATCTTTAGCTCAATGATGTGAACATGCCATGAGCGTGATTACCACACATTGATAAGTAGTGTATAATCAAATATGTGTAGTATTGTTACATTTAATTACTTTAAGTGTTATTTATATTTTTATTATGATGCTCTCCTATTACCTGTAAATTTGTAGACTTGCAAAAATAAACTCTATAGTGCACCTACAGTGCCTTAATGTTCTGAGATCTTTATAATATCTATAGTAGCTTTGGATATGTTGCCTTCCATTTTTTCCATAAATCGCCGATTCAATTTATATACATGTTGACTGAGTATGGATAACTTTAATGCTAAATCCAATAATTTTTGACTGTTCTTACAAATGTGTTCATAATTGGGACGTGTTAGCACAAAATGTCTTTCAGACTCTGTCAATAGATTTATATCTAAAATCTGTCCTTGTCCTTCTATAGTTATTTTTTGCTTGGTCAAGTTTTTCCGTTGAACTTTGCGATTTTTGTATTTCTGTTGCCAGTCTTTTCGCTCCTGCCTAAGTTTCTCTATATATTCCTTCAAATTAAAAACCTCAACATTATTCTTTGCATTGCACTTTCCCTTGTCATTATTTGGTGTGTCTTCGTTGGCTGTAACTTCATTGATGCCTGAAACAAAAAATATTCAATATTCACAGTTATTTGACTAATTGCTTTGGGAATAAATTCTTCATAAATCCATACTTTGAAAATAAGATTGATGAATAATATAATATTTATAAAAACAATATATTAATGCAGATTAATACAGAGATATGTATTTTTTAATTTTTATATTTTTAAATTCAATGAATGTTTTAAAGTGAATTTTTTCTTTTTATAATATGCAACTTTATGAAAAGAAACTAACCTTCGTCTTGGTCACGCACTACGTTACGCGTACAGAAAATCGACGACCTACGTTTGTGAACGGTTCTATTGGATTTACATTCTTCATTGAAATTCGATACATCAAACGTAGTCATTATTGGACGATTTGTCACAGAAAAACGGGCAAACTATCATTTCCCCTCGTCGTTCATCGCTGTACATACAATATGGCGGAATAAGTTTTGAACTATTTCAAACGAGCTCCCATATACAGAGCAAGTGACGCATTTTAACCAATCAGAGAAGTGCGAAGAAACAGCTGATTTTATTCGTGGATCATAATAGAAAGAAGCCTGCGGGCATGATAATAATCTCTGATCATAATACAGATATATGAGATATATTACACATATACATTTATATTATTTATATAAAACAATAAATTAAAAAAAATATAATACAATATCATATCAGAAAATTATAATACAGAAATAAAAAGAAAGAATTCAGATTTCTAACATATAAAAGAAAAAATATTTATTAATAACCCTCGATTGTAATTATTAAGAATTCCCGAACATATAAATTTATTTTAAAATTTTCAACCGTGATTGGTTGATTCGCCTACGAATACTGACCTAGTTCTTTTACGGAAGAAAGGATTCGCTGTTGACTTGTCACGTGCATAGACATACTATACCTAGACCGAGTGTTGAGGAGTGGGGGGTGATGCTACATAGAAAAGGATATACTCTCTTTTGTGCCTTCGCGTTCTCTCTCGCTCGCATATGCGTACAAATCGTATAGTGGGGATCGTAGATAGAGGTGTATATTTTGTACGCATATGTAACGAGAGAGAGAGAGAGAGAGAGAGAAGCAAAGGCATAAAACAGAGTATATCCTTTTCTACGTAGCATCTACCTCCACTCCTCGAATAAAGGCAAACGCTTGGTCTAGGTATACTATGTCTATGGTCACGTGACTCTGCACTTTAATTCGCCGCCTTCGAGGACGATGAATCCAGATGGCGCTGACAATCGTCTCCCTTTTTTTTTTTTTTCCAGAGGAGAGTTCGTACCCCCTGCTGCCAAAAAGGGGCAGCGCGTGAGAGTGATGCGAAAATTGTCAAATATCGGGCGCATGACGGCGGTGTGGCGAGACCGGTGAACCTGGCGGTGGTGGAGTGCGGCGTACGTAAAAAGAAAGAAATAAAAAAAAACGTACACACAGAAAATTAGGAAAAAGCAAAGGCAAAACAAACAAACACATAGCCGCGTTAGTAGCGCCGAGAAGTTACGGCGTGCGATCACGATGTCGAGCACCCTGGAGAAGAAGATCATGAACTTGGAGGAGCGGCTGCGGGCGGAGAACGAGTCGCGAGATCGGGACAGGCAGGTTGGCGGCGAGGTTGGTGGCCCGAGTATGGGCCTGCACTCCTCGTCATCGTCGTCGTCGTCGTCAGCGGCGGCAGCGGGCCCTGCGTCCAGCCCTGCGCTCCGTAGGCCACGACAACGTAAGCAGCCTGCTCTAATGCGCATAAAGACTCTTGCGATTCTCATCTATGCTTTTTCCTAAATCGATCCACTCCAGTCGACGCGTTACTTCGATCACGCGAGAGTACAGGTTATGTTGACCATCGCACAGTTGATTGATTTCCACTGTTGATCTCGCGGCTCGCAGAGGTTCGGCGTATTCTCGCAATCGAACACGACAGGGCGCGATTTCTTTTCCTTATTTTTAACTGTCAACGTTGAGAATGGATCATCTCTTGATTGCTACTTAATTTATTCATTTTCATTGGATCTCTTCTAGATAGTAAACAGGTATCATTATTAGCAGATTATAAACAATTATTATTGTAATTGAATTTTGATATTGAATCGAAATCATTCAGAAATCGCTCGTAAGTATACATATTCACGAAATACATACAATACAATAAATGTCATAACTTTTAGAAAGAAATTAACGTACATAGTTGCATATTTAATATATATAGTAACATAATTATATAATTTAAGTTAAGAGATTTTATTTAACTTTATTAACTAAATCTATATAAACTTATATTTAAATTCTCTTGGAGTAACAATTTTTTAACAATTGAAATACTTGTCAACATTGATATTAAAATTATTTCTGCTTATTAAAACAAACATAGATTTAGTTATATTTGTTAAATTATAAGAAAGCTTTATATTTAATGAGAAAATGAATATATAATGAAAATAGTATGATTTAAAATAATGTAATGAATACTAAAATATTATATATTCTTTGATAGTTGGAGATATGGGTACTCCAACACGACCCAGAAGACAGCTAGACCTACCAGTATCACAAATAGTTCAGCCAAAGAAGCACGACAGTGAATTTGAATCAAAACTGCAAGAGATTATGAAAATGAATGGCATTTTAAACATCAATGGTCAAAGGTACCAGACGGAGATGAAAGATCTGGAGCACTTGGGTGAACTTGGTAATGGCACCTGTGGACATGTTGTCAAAATGAGGCACAAACCTAGTGGTGTGGTGATCGCTGTGAAGCAGATGCGACGCTCTGGAAACGCAGAAGAGAATAAAAGGATAATCATGGATCTCGATGTTGTGCTCAAGTCGCATGACTGTCCATACATTGTGCAGTGCCTAGGATGTTTTATTACTGAATCCGATGTATGGATTTGTATGGAACTGATGGCGACATGCCTAGACAAGTTATTGAAGCGTAGCAGGCAGGCGATACCAGAGGATTTTTTAGGAAAAGTCACAGTAGCAGTAAGTTTCGTTATGAAATGTTTTGTTTTGCGTTTAGAAAATTTTATCTTTAAGGAATTTTAGAAGAATTATAATAAAAGAATGATATATTAAAAAAAAATGATTTAATCATGTTAATTTTTAAAGATATTTTTCTTTCGATTATTAGCCTTAAAGTTTGGAGATATCTTGGATCATTTTCAGAATAATGTTGAAGTTGTTAAAAAGACGATTTTACATTACAATTTGCATTTTTTTCTTCAGACAGTAAAGGCGTTGTCGTACCTGAAAGAAAAGCATGGTGTAATTCATAGAGATGTGAAACCTAGTAATATATTATTGGATGAAATGGGAGGAGTGAAACTTTGCGATTTTGGGATATCTGGTAGGCTAGTTGACAGTAAGGCAAAGACGAGAAGTGCGGGATGCGCGGCATACATGGCTGTAAGTAAACACGTATTATAGTATTGAAAAATATAGAAATTTTCTGAATAATGGAAGTAAATAATCATGTATTTCTCTCGTTCTGTAGCCTGAAAGGATAGATCCACCAGATCCTACTAAACCGGATTACGATATAAGGGCAGATGTGTGGAGTCTGGGCATTACTCTGGTGGAACTAGCTACGGGAGTGTTTCCTTATCGAGACTGCAAGACTGATTTTGAGGTAAAATTTTCATTAGACAGTTTCTTTGATATTTTTATTTGGACATAGTTACATGAAAAGAAATCTATTAGTATTTTCTATCTCTATTGTTAAAATGTTGCTAAATATATATGTTCAGTGTGAAATTTTATTTCTAGTATGTAACTACATCTCTTAAAGAAGTATTTTTAAGTTCTTTTATATTTTGATACAAATACATTTATTTATTGTTTATTTATTATTTTATTATTCTATATATTATAGGTATTGAGCAGAGTAGTACAAGACGATCCTCCGTCTCTTCCGGCGGATGCACCTTTCTCCAAGGAATTCAGGAGTTTCGTTAGCTGTTGCCTCACGAAGAATTATAAGCATCGGCCAAAATACCACAAACTCATGGAACATGCCTTCATCCGCAAGTACGATGTTTTGCAAGATGGCGAGACGAATTCCTCTCTAACGAACTCTGGCTGTCAATGGTTTGGCAAAGTCATGCGGCAGCTAGAACCAAGGTGGGAATCTAGATCTGCTAATTGTCGTTCGTTGTTACGTTTTTTTTTTTTTTTTTTTTATTATAGATTAGTAGGATAATTTTTTAGATTAATAGGATAATTTAGAATATTTACTATCATGATAGAAATGATAAGATGACAATTATTAAGAACTAGCGTGACAACGAGATCGCGAACTTTTAAACATGGCATGAAATTCCCAACTAATAAAGATACTGATCTCTGGTTTGGTTATCTCTTTTTTCATTTTTTAACCAGGTGTAATCGCGTTTTACGACTTTTATAAGAACTTTGCGCATTTAACATATTTTCATGGTCAGTGAGTTTTGGATCGAAGCGTTTTACGAATTGGCCTATCGTTGGACGTTAACGATTGTACAAGATGTCCCGGAATTATCGTGTCTTTGGCTTTTAGCCAACGGATTTTCTCGTTGATTGCGCGTCAACTTTTGCAACTGAAGAACGATCGATTTGCGAATTTGTCGGAGAATTCGGCGACCGAAGAGAGACGCAATATTCTCAGAATACATGCGGTATATATTTATAAATCTATTTTGATAAATCTTTTTGCTTTGCGAAAAAAGAAGACCGACATTTACAAATCCTTCTTTCAAATTAAAAGTTTGCGTGCGTGTTGAATTGTGTTGCAGCGTTGAACTTGAGGGAGGCAGCGCGGCGTAGCATCCTCGTCCTCCCTCGTTCCTTTCTCCCTTCCTACTTCCGTTCCTTCCTAGACAAATCGCCTGAATATTCCTGAAAGAGAAAAGAAAAAAAAAAGAAAAAAATAGACTACCCCGCTATTACTACTCACAATATCCAAAAATCTGCCCGATTTTCATTTCGAGTTGTTTGGTTTGTGCACGCGCCTGTTACACACCCCACCCTTCAACCCCTACTCACGGTAAGCATTATTTTTTTATTTATTTCAATATATTTTTCGTTTCTTTCTTTGTGCCTACTTTTATTGCGTTTAACGTAGCGATTTGTCCATCTCGTCGCGATGCACGCATTATTTTTCCCTGTGCACACGCCATTTTTCTTTCTTTTTTAGCAAATCGATATCGTGAAATGAATTATTGGCTATTGCAGGTTGGGAGTAAAATTGCTGCGGCGAGATTATGGTAAAATCATGATAAAAAAGAATTATGGATTATGTGAATATTTAATTAATAATATATATAATATTTAATTATAAAAATTTCAAAGTTGCGTTTATTTTTAAAATTTTGTCAGTTAAATTTTTATAAATCCTCATTATTTTTACAAAGTTATTTTTGCCATAAGAAGCTCGTTCCATGACTTACATGACGCCGCGAAAAATTCTATGATCTCGCAGCATGATCCTCTGGAAATATTTAGCAGGGTTTGGAAATAATCTGATATTTATCTCACAATAAAACATTTCCTCTGCCCTCATCTGCATTTTGCATGCAAATAATTAACAATTAATGCTCCGCTCTAAATTCCATTAACTTTTCTAGACTAAAGTTTTTTACAGAGTCATCACGGTATGATTACGGGATTATAGTGGCACATATGTATATCAAAAGAATCAGATCACATGTTGCATTTTCATGCTGGAGGGAAATCGGTTGCATTTACGAATCTATTCTCAAGAAAATCTCATCCGTATGGCGATTCAGTTCCAGATTGCCAGGAGGTCAGCAGCAACAGCAGCGAGTTTCGAGTCATGTATCCTTGAAGCAGACGGCTCACCTTCGGGCACAATCGGAAGTTCCGGCCTTCTTAAGGAGTAATATCAATAGCAGTATGAGAGAACCTCCAAATTCTGGTTTTCTGCCATTTCATCAGCGTTCCAACAGCGAGAACGGTGCGAACTACGTGCCCTATAGTCCATACGCTTTCCGCCGGAAAGAGATCGCTCGACCGTTTTCACCGCCGACATCTAAGGACGCGGCAGATCAGCCAGAACAGAATCTGCCGCCACGATCTTTCTCGCCCTATAGGCAACATGAGCAAAGCATCGCCAGGCACGACTACAGCTCTTCGAATCACTGCTCGACAACGAACGGACAAGGTAGACAGGAAGCAACAACGACGACGACGACAATGACGACGATGATGACGACGACGACGACGATGACGACGACGACGAGATCGTTCTCTCCTTACAGGACGCAGGACTCCAATTTGGATAGCAATGGTCGACCATATTCCCCGTATCGCAGTAGTCGCTATGAAGAGCGCGACAAGACAGACCGATGGCAGGGAGATGTCTCGAGATCGCTGAGCCCCTTCGCCAGAGATTATTCGCCCTGGCGACGAGAGAATGTTGATCCACCTGTCATACAGCCACCACCTGCTACCTACGACAACAGCGGTCGTTACTCGCCGTTTCTTCAGCAACGACTTACGCAACCACCGTCACAACAATCCACAGCACCTCAAACCTATCCACAGATGCAGAATATCTATGGTAGTCCGATGATCAGCCGTAAGAGGTAATTAAATTACTGTTGGCTATTGGAAGACTCGTAAAATGGTTCAATTATCTGGGAATGATTTAAACCTAATTTTATCTTAATTTTTTTAACTTTGTGCATATTTTTATATTCAATAAAAAAAGTATATATATTTTTTTCTATATCATAATCGATTAAAAAAATTTTATTAGAGCATAACAAATACTATTACTTGTTTTGTGCAGGTTTCCTTCGGAGCCACCACCGCAAGGATCCCATGGTTCCACTAGTCCACAATTGCTGATCTCCCGTTTTGCACATCAGTTGAAACAGGAATCGCCACCGTCGTCGTTAGTAATGCCGCCACAACAGATTGTTGGTTCAAAGGAGTCCGCAAAGAAACGCTTTGCATCATACGTACGTCTCAGGCTTGGCAGTGAACGTGCTCCTTCGCCGGAACCTCCGCCGAGATTAAGTCGCGGCGAGTCCCCACTTGCACTTAGAAGAAATTTAGTTGATCAGGCTTCTCCTTCCTTTCCACGAAGGTGCGCATCTTCATCTTTTGATCGTCTTTAATTTGCCAAGAAAATAATTTCTTGTATAATTATGAATTATACAGTTATTGTTCCTTAATAAAATAATAAGAGAATAATGTAGACAAATAATTCTGATTTTTTTTTTTTTTTTTTTAGGTACGTCTCACCTCCACCCCAGCCACCACCTAGGAGACTGTCGGAGAGCAATTCTGTGCCTGGTAGCCCGCAACATGTGCGAGCTCGCTTGCGTTATACGCCTGAACCTCAGAGGAGACCTCCGCCACCATAACCCACCGTTACAATCATTAAGCCTTATTATTCCTTATTGGTGCCATACGCGACTACGGACACCCGAACCACAGTCATATGCATTACGTAGTAATGAGATGCATCGTTATCAGACGATGTCTGCGTTATTGCGCATACAGTGTGAATTACAGGATGCCTGTAGACGCAGATGTATAGACGGCGCGTGTTTTCGAATGTTGTAAACCAAAAGAAAAAAAAAGAAACGGGAGAAACATATTCTATTTGAGCCGCTGCAAACTCGAACGTTGTACACGAATCGAAGATTTTGTACAGCAACGTCACGATTTAGTGTGCGACACGGCTGAAATTGCGGGAAAATATCTCCTCTTGATTTGATGTTCTCGCGCATTTGGATTCGCGGACGCCTCGAATGCGAAAATTGCCTTAAGAGACACGAGGACTTAGCTAGTATGAATATTTCAGATTTCTGAAAGATTTCCGAACATTTCAGACTTCTGATCGAAGAATATTTTCTGAATTCCTTATTGATGTTAGAACGTAGGGAAGAGAGTGAAACTTTTTCGAATTTAGAACGCTTCACACGCTAAAGACGTCGTAAACGTAAACTTTTGCACGATCGAATAGCTTTTAACCAAATAGCACTGGACACCTCGGATTAACTAAGCCTAGTATGAATATACAGAATGAATTATTTTCTACAAAACGTGATAAAAGAGAAAATAAAAAATTACCTGAGCTCAAAAAATAATGTTCTAAAATTAGGAAATTTTAAGATAAATTCCTGCCGAACTTTTTTATCTCTGTGATTTTTCTCTATGCTCTAATGTTCATTTCTATCAATTAAATTTAATCTCAATTTAATTTATTCTTTATCTTTCTTTAATTATCTTTCTTTAAAACTAAACAAATAAAACAAAAAGTAAGTTATGTTAAGATTAAAATTAATTTATATTTATCGAAATAAACATAAATGAAAAAAAACAATTGATTAAGCTAGGATTAATGGAACAACCGAGAGTGCAATCGGTGCCTCAAAGCTCACGTGCACATGTTTTACATAAACGAAGGAGTCGTTCGCGTTGCGGGCAATCGTTTGCACAATTTTTCTTCACCGCCATGAGACGTGAATCGATTTACCTTCGTCAATAAATCTCTTCTCGACGTGTATTTATCGATAATACGCAACGAGAAATACGATGCTCAACTTTTTATATCGCTTGCGTATTAGAAAAAAAAGATACAGCGATAGAGGAGTGCGGTAATTAACCGTGATGCACCGCAATGTTTTTCTAAAAAAGCCTCGACAACCAACAAATACATATTATACATATTTATGTATATATTATATACAGATAAGATATATACGGTATCGTGCCGTACGTGAAAATGCGTAAACCGTTCCTATCGCTCTTCGTTTACGCTTCCTTCTGTCAATCTTGAAAATCTTCAAGAGAAAGAGAGAATAAACGCAACGAAACTCGCTCTCTTCTCTCGGCCTTGCGATACACCTCTGCAATTTGTATTGCAGTCTCTCGATAACTTTTTTCCACGTTTTACTATTAATATCTATTAAAGCAATGTTAAATGTGAGAGCGAGTCGTCACACGAGTTCAAGAGTGCGTAATCCAATATCGAGATCGAGAGTCCAACCGAGAGGGATATTATATCGTCTACACTCGACCTTTCTTCATAGCAAGAAGGGGGAAATTTAAGAAAAGCACAATAATGTCGAGCAGAATCCTATTACAAAGAGGGTGAATGTATGTTACTCAATCAACAAGAGACGTGCAAGGCATCACTCACATACACCACGTACCATACACACACAACACACACACACACACACACACTAATTTAGAATGTTGTAATTATTATTTTTAATTAACATTTAATCCCTAACTATGTTCAAGTCTACACTCGTAATCACCTTTGTCGTTTATTTGACAAAAGGCTCTGTTGCAATGTAAATAAACTTATATTTATACGAGTTATTGTATCTTTCTTTCATCTACTTTTTCTTTCATCATCCCCGCTTCGATCTTTTATTTAAATCTTGGCACTATTTTCTGAATTGATCTTTTATCATTTTCAATCTCTGAATTGATGTGCTGTATGCTTCTATTCATTGTTTGAGATGATAGAAAGAATCATGCAAGTCATTCGAACAGTCGTCTCCACTGATTATGATGAAGCATAATAAAAAAAATGCAATCTTTGACCTCTTGATGTTTTTCGTTTATGTTATGTCGATCAATTCGAAAATATCGTGTATAGTAATATTAGAAACAAATATTTCTTTTGATTTATTGTGTTCTATTAAATTTAATGATATATAATTGATGTGTTGAGAATATAATCTAATAAATTCTGTCATTTATTACCGTACTGTAATTATCAGGTATGATATATATGGAATAAGAATTTTCATAATAACATAGTTTAATTTTTATTTTGATACATTGAATCCAACCTCGAAGAAAAATGTATTTCTTTTCGAGGTTAATGCAACACATAATTTTATATCATCATGTATATTGGTTTTCTAATCAATATTTTATAATTAAAAAATATCAAATCTTTTTTTTTGTTTTAAAAAAATTACAATTTTTTTTAATTGAATTTAACAGACAGTATAATTTATCATCGCTATATTCTTTTATTATCAAATACATAACGTAGATAAGAATTCACCATGGCATACTTTAATTCTTATCAAATTCTTATTAAATTCTTTTTAAAAAGAAATCAAGATAAAATATATAAAACAATGGAGAGATTAACTCAAAATTATTTATCTCTTAAAAATTATAAATAACTTCGCGGAATAAATTCTTTTCGATAAACATCAATTAACATATCAAGATTATAACATTCCACTCAACAATAGTATAATGTAATACAGGTTGTTCGTAATAATTATATTGTTAAATAGGAAATTCTAATGTTTATATATTATTACTATTAATTAGTGTTTAGATTATCAACATCTTTCTTAGTGGTTTTATGTAATATATATAATTACAATATATAATAATAAATAGATATAATATATAAAATATATATGACAAAAAACAATATGGATATAAAATCCGGGTATGTGTAATATAATATACACAATTTTATTAGCAATACTACGAGAGAGAGAGAGAGAGAGAGAGAGAGAGAGAGAGAGAGAGAGAGAGAGAGAGAGAGAGAAGTATATATATATATATATACT